AATATCTATCCAGTAACTGTACCAAAAAAAAAATCTATCCTGTGATGTGGTTAGCTGTAAAAGTGACTTGCGAATCCTGCTGCTATGCACTCCCAGTCGGCATACTAATAGTAATCCTGCATTTCCTAATGGATCTTATGTAGATGAAGCTCCTGGTTTTTAACTGCAGGTTTTGCCAGATGCAAAATAGTTGGTTTGGAGGGTAGTTGTCATGCTATGGGCTTGGAATGTTCCGCTACAAAAAATTTCTAGGTACTTCTGTGCTTTCTGGTTTCTATATGAGCAGTTAGGATTTAACATTTATTTTAGTTTCTTTTCTGTACATATAACCGTTTGTATTAAGAGCAAGATATGACCATTCTGTTGGTTGCATGCTTTGCTAACATACTCGTCTCTTTGATCACTGAGCGAGAAAACTAGAAATCTGTTGAGTGGTTTCTTGATTTGTTAATGGGATTCCTTGTTGGAGACTTCTGTCCATTTTAAATGTCCACTTCCTCATTGTGCAAATTGTGCCTCTTAAATGTTAAATCAGAAATTCTTTTGACGGTTTGGCATAATTGTTGATGTTTGCTTTTCAAGTTATGGGTGAATCTTTTGCCTGTCCTCGAGCCAAATAGTTGCTTTTTAAGTCAGCCTCCTCAAGTTTAAGACTTTTTTTGTTTTATCACGGGCAGATGGTTTGCCATGCACTTTACTATAGGACGGTTTACTCATGCAGTTATGGTTAAACGAGAGACACTATATCTATCCATTTGAATGTGAATTGGTAAAGATGTTCATCCCTTTGGGAATTTAAGATTGGAGTTGTCCTAATTCATACAACACGAAGCTTAATTATATGAAATAGCCAATACCAGAGAAGATAAAGAGGAGATTAATTAGCTGAAAGTTCAGTCAGCTTCTCAATTTTCAAAACAAAGTTGGGACTATCAAGTGTCAAAGAAAAAAATATAGAGATAAGCAGGACCTGTTTTTTTTTTTCATTTTTTTTATAATTAGAGGAAGGGAGATTTGAATTTTGTTTTTCAACTAGGTAGATAATGTACCAATCAGCGAGTTAAATGTTCTGGGTGCTTGAGCAAAATCTGGTTACTTTGCTTAGACATCCACTTCTGGAATTTCCTTTAACCTAAACGATTACTCTTTATACTTCCATTTGCGTCTCAAACTTTCAACTTGGGGAATTTCTTTACATTTTAGCGAAGGGCGATAGTGTTTATGTGGCATTCTAAGGTGAGTTGGACAAAAAAGAATAAGAAGAAAACAGTAAATTCATTGTTCGGCAAACTCCAAATCTCCAATCAAAAAGCATCAACTTTCCGAATTGAAATCAGCTTATAACATTTATTAATGCGGATAATAGTTTTGCATAGTAATAGATGCACATATTGACAATAACAACAATGAACGGAACGGATGCAGTGAAGAAAAGAGTAAAACTAGATTGTAAAGTTCATATTTATGGTAAGGCACGACTAAGCAGCCAATGACCCCTGCTACAGCACACAAAAGGAAACGGATCAGAATGGGGGCCCCGGAGGACCATAACCGCGGGGCCCACCAAAGCAGTCCTGTAGTAGCCAACAACAGCATAGACAGTAGAAGCTGCAAGCCCAAAATTAGTCGGGAATTTAGTGAAAAATCAAAGCGCAGTTAGCTAGAGTCGGCATAGAGGAGAAAGATTGCTTGCTTACCAAGAAGATATCATGTTGCACAAACCATCAGCAAAGCCACCAAAGAAGCCACCAGGCCAAAAACCAGGGCCTCCAAATCCGGGGCCCCAGGGACCTCCCGGCCCTGGACCAAATCCGCCAGGTCCCCCCGGACCAGGACCCCAACCGCCAGGCCCCCCTGGTCCTCCCCAACCACCAGGACCTCCTGGCCCTCCTCCCCATCCACCAGGACCTCCTGGCCCTCCTCCCGGTCCACCAGGTCCCATTGCTGTTAATAGCTTTCTAGTCCGTCTTCAGTCTACACCACGTCCCACCACCGGCAGACGTTGCCAAAGAGAATATCAAGTCTGCAAACGCAGGCCCGTAAAAGATAGAAATATGAAGAGCCGATCCTCCTCCTGAAAATATTTTTAAAACTCTCTGAACAAGTTTGGACGCATTATGCAGAAATAGGAAGGGAGTTTACTTAAGGGGGAAGGTTTAAGTTGCACCATTGTAAGGACAAGTGCTCGACAACAAATCCACCTGTCTCTCACAAGACAAAACCTACCAGTCTAATTATGTATTAACTACTATTCTTTCATTGACCTATCCATCATTCAAAGCTGCACCTATATCAATATATTTATGCACAAGTTACACTTGCACGGGGTTGGAAATTCACTCTTTTTTTTGTTTTTAGAAATTTGTCCGAGAACACAATATTTAACCTCACAAATCAATTATAAAGAACTATAGATTCAAACCCTTGGCAAATTCTCGTTGGTCTTCACACGTTAAAATGCTTGCCAGGCAACATACTGGTTTGCTACTAACATAGAGAAGATTGAACTGAACAGCTATGAAGTCATCTTTTAAGTTAAATTCGCGAGTTTTGGTACTAGGTTCAGTTGAGTTGACCCAGGTAATTGCCTAAATAAATTGAGCCTCGGATTGGGTACTCTGTCCCTGTAAAAATAATCCAACTGTTGTATTGCTGCTTTTTATATCCCAAACATGTCCAAATGGCAGTCTGCAAATTCGACAGTCACCTGCCATTCACTTTAAATCAACTCCACCACATTATCAGCAGCTCTTCCCATTTTTTGTTTTACATTTTGGGATGCATATCTTCATTTGAGTGCAAAATCAATTAGTAAAAGAAACCACTTGCAAGCCAAAAAACCATTCTGCTTTCAACACAAGTAAATAAATCCGATTGTTTAGGGCAAAAAAATGAAAAAAGCAAAATCTTAGCCAGCAAAGATTAAAAAGAGAACACAGTGGGGGAATAAAAGCCTCAGATTAGCATATTGGCACATTCATCAACGCAAACAACAACCCGTGCAGAAGGATCTACACGGTGCGCATAATTTGTTGCTGCAGCTCTGCCTCATACGCTTTCATCATCAGCTTTTATTATGATAAATAATCCACTCTGAATTTCTAAAATACTTCATAAAATTGAAAAAAAAAAAAAAAAAGAAAACAGAAGAAGATTAATTCAAAAAATCGGATGAAAATTTCAACTCCACAAAAATCGAAACTCAGCCCAATCCCAACCCTAATTACCCGGCTTACGAACGATGGATTCACATTTTAACCTTCGGCTGCAATTAGCGTGGAGAGGAGAAAATCAAAAGCGGCCATATAAAGAAGCTGTGGGAGAATCGGGTTAGGGTTTCGTTTCAGCAGTTGGAAGCATTTTGGGCTTTGAGCCCACCCAATTTGCTTTATAATTTTTGGGCCTTTCTTGGTTGGTTGGGCTTTAATAGTTCATTTAGCACTTTAACCGATCAGGCCCACTACTAATTTTTCCTTTCCTTGGGATTTATGATTTGTGAGTAAAGAATTTGAATGAAGGAAATGTTATTTTTTCCCAAAGCCGATGCGACTTTGATGAGGCATCAAATAAAGTGATAGAATTTAATTTGATGGATGGTAAATTAATGTTGCATTTGATGCATAAAATTACTGATAGTATTGAATAGTAGGACAAGCTATAAACATGTAAAGTCATAGACAACAAGTGGTTTTGTGGGACAAAAAAGTTAATATTTCTTGTTTTTCAATGTAAATTTCTTATTGATAATTTTTTTTTTGCAAAAAAGAAAATAATATTTGATGTGAGAAGCAACTTATAAACCTGTAAAATCAAAAATAATATTTGCTTTTGTGCAAAAAAACTTATGTTATTCGTTTGTCGATGTAAACTTATTATTTTCATAGATTTTATGTGAAAATGAAAATATGATTGATACGAATAGAACTTATAGAACATGTAAAACCCCAATGAGAAAGTGATTTTGTATCAATGTAAAAACATATATTTCATATTAAAATAATTATTTAAGTCCCATTATTTGTTTCTTTTATTTGAAAAGCGAGAGACTTAATTGCATTTTAAACATTTTATTTATTGATTAATGTATGGTCTTCTTACTTAGAGAGTAGAGTTCAAATCCTTCTTTTCTTGATAAAAAAAAAAAAAGTAAGTTGAGAGACTCAAATATATTGTATTTTATGTATTCGGGAATGCTTGCATCTAATTTTATATGGTCCAATTCATAAAAATATGTAAATATACGATTATATCAGATGAGGGGCAAACTATTAATTGAAATCCACAAAAAATTATACAAGTGGAATGAAAATGATTTACATATATAGCTCCAATCTATAGCTCAACCGCATGGTTTCATGCAAAATAGTTCAATTTAATTAATGAGGAAGATCTCAATACTTAAAATGCTAAAATAAAATATACCGTTTATAATACTAGCATTATGCCTTTATTTTTGTTAATTAAACCATCTTTTTATCTCAAATTTAACTCTTGTATATTAAATTTCCAAAAAAAATTAAAAAATTGGAATCTAATTTTTTGAATAAAAATTATGCAGTAATTATTTAATTAAATGTTTCTAAATTATAAGTCTTAAGATATGCACATAAAATGTAATTAAAAGCCTAGGATTGCATCAAAATTTTGAAAAATAAAATAAAATCATGCCTGACCTAGGTTTTTAGCATGATCTGGACATGACGCATAGCACTAATCGCAGGGACAAACATCCTGGCAGGCAGCCGACCCGACTCAAACTAATCCACCTTGTACAATTTCTTTTTCTTTTTTTTTTTATAAAGGGCAAAGTACAGCCATTAGCGAAAGCCACGATGGCAACCCCAATTTGCCAGGGGAGCTTCCGATTTGAGTATTTATCAGTTTTTAGCCTACAAAACAGGAAATTTGTCTTGTTCTCTAATTCAAAGATTTTTTTATCGTCTACCCAAAATTATCTTGTACAGTACTAGTAGTATACAACTCGTGCACAGCTAGCACTCTGACAAGCACCTCCTCTAGTTTTTTTAATAATGATCAATCATGGTCACCTAATTAAACAATCCTAAATTATTCAAAAAGAAAATTAAACCAATGCTTGTTTCCGTACACCCAAAAACAATCCTGGAAATCCCACTGCTGCGGTTGACCCCGGAACTCCCTCCGTTTTTCAATATTCTCTCACATCTGTTCTTTCGCCTGACCTGCAACTGTAGAAGCTCCTACAGATCAAAAGAAAAATGATAAAGGCGTTGGACTAGTACTATTATGTGCAGAAAAATTTTGGTGTTTAATTTAATTAGATAGAGGCCGCGTCGCGTAAGGCTTGAATTGCTCGGAAAAGATATGTGACTTTGTAGAAGTTTCAAAGCTTTGAGATAGCTGACACCTGGTGCCAGTCTACGGGGGCATTAAAGGTCTCTCAGTTCCTCATCACCATTGGCTCTCAGTGGCCCCAAGGGACCCTACTGCTTAAATGGGTTCTTTTCTCTATGATTTACGCTAACTCTTACCAATCTCACTTTTGCATTTCAATCACAAAATTATATAAATGTTGCTTGGCTATGCTTGGAAACAAAACTTCACTGATTGTGAGTTTCTCTGCTGGGAAACGACAGGAGAGACGGGGAAGAAGTCTTTTTACGGAACCTCATTTGTTTCTTTTATGCAAATAAACATGGAAAGGGAGAGTTAAAAGTAAAGACTGTCCTAAGGCCGAACCTCAACGGGGGGCTCTTCTTCTCGGACATCAATATCAGAGTACATTGCTAAGTGAGAAATTAAGAAACCGTCACAATCAATGACAAGAAAGAGAGAGAGAGAGAGAGAGAGAGGACCCGTTGGCTTAAGTATCGGGACATATTAATCTTTTGAATTGGATGCGTGGTCCAACTTAGAGGCACCCATTTACGGCCAAAAGTAACTTAATGAATGATAGCCATTGGATTCTAGGAGGAGGTGTGGTTCGATTGGGATGTTCAGCAATCAGGACCACTAAAAATTAGCCATTAATTGAACCAAAAAATAAAAGAGTGTGGGCAAGGCCCATGATAAAAACTGCTCATATCCTACAGATGGAATTGATAACTCAAAGCTAACATTTTGGTGTGAGAGTTCACCAACTGATGGTCCCATACACTTTACCATTGTGGCAAATGATGTTACCCATTAACAATATTTGCACCCCACGTTAGTTGGTTGAAGGTTTATGAGCATTTATTGTCCAGATCTAGTTCTTTTAATTCATGAAATCTAAAGTCATTGAGGAATTTGGCAATTTTCGTGGCAACACATTGGGTAGAAACTACTCCCCCCTTCCCCTTCTCTTTTTTGGCCAATTGAATGATTAGAACATGCCAAGCTCATATAGTAACTGATAACTAAATGATTAATAAGCTCACTATAGTCAATAAACATATGCTTCGAAGTCCAATCATATAGAATTTGATATAAGACACACATGACAAATGGTTATTGACTGCCAAATAAGACAACTCCACTGCATTTTCCAGCAAATTTTGACGGCCTGCCAGTTTTATTCAATTTCTTTTTCTTTTTCTTTTTGTTCCCCTTTTATCTTTGCCCTGTTTGTTTAATCAATTGAAATTGCCTCAACCTCAAGCATGCTGAAGCTAAGCTTGTCATCTAGTGGGCAAAGTTTGTAAAGAACTTTCGTAAAGTCTGTCACCAGAACATGATGCTGCTACTTTTTTGGGCTAACCATGGACTGCAAATTAAGATAAGATAAATGATTGATTCCAGATTTATTGGTGAAAATTAAATTTGCTTGAGAACCCTCAAATCTCAGGGCAATTTGAAGCATTGAAATTGAATATTCTTCTTTCTTTGGTCTGATGGATTTATTCCTTCATGTGCCCATATTTTTTATTTAATTTGAAAAAAAAAAATATTTAAATTTGATTTTTTGAGTAAGCCGATGCATACATAGACTACCAAACCAAATACCCAACATATTTGAGAGGAACCTAACTCATCATTAGATTAATTCGAAAGTCAATTGTCTTGGTTATCTGATATGTGTTTTTTGGTTTTTTACGCTTCATTTGTTAAGCATGAGTCGTGCTTGGTTTGCTTTTAGATATAGTTTTGACTTTGTCAATATTCGATGGGATTAAATGTTGTAAAAACAGTTAAACTTTTTG